ATGCGCACTACGACCCCCTGGCGAACATCCACACCTTTTCCGCCTGCCTGGGTGAGTCTGGGGCTGCTGTCCCGGTTCTGGGGAGATGAGTTGTCAGATGACGGTTCTGTAGTGAAGCCTCTAGGCTGATGCCCTGGCTTATGGCTCTTTTGTGTTTTCCAGCGCTGGCCGATTTGCATGGGGATGGGGAGTACAAGGTAAGGTATCACTGCTGCAGAAAGAGAACTGGGGCGTGGGGGGGGGGCGGGGGCGGGGAGAGAATACCAGAATTGACATGTCCCCATGGCCCCAAAGAAGCTCAGCATAATCTGGGTGGAATTCATGAGTACTCTGAAATAGCACATTTAGTGTTAATTTTTTTTATTATTATTGATTTCAGAGGGCCGGGGGGAGAGAAACATTAATGATGAGAATCATTGATTGGCTGCCTCCCACACAGGATTGAGCCTGCAACCCAGGCATGTGCCCTTGACCGGAATCGAACCTGGGACCCTTCATCCGCAGGCTGATGCTCTATCCTTTGAACCACACGGCCAGGCTAGTGTTAAATTTTATCTTTATGCAGAAGGTGAAGAGGTCCCATAGATTTCATAATACAGAATGCAGAAAGTAAAGCAGAACAATGCTGCTGGGCATTTTGCTAAGACAAAGCTTCTTAGTTTTGTTAATTCTTTGCTGGAAGGGCAGGCACCTCCCTTGGCTGGATGTGAGGGGTCTGGAGGGGAAGTAGAAGGGAATTGAAGGGACTTTTATGTTTATCAAAAGGACATCGATTTTAAGATTAGCCATGAGCTGATAATGGTTGAAGCTGGGTGATGGGTTCATTATATGAGTCTGTCTACTTTTGTCTGTGACTGAAATTTTTCCAAAATAAAAAGGTTGACATTTAATTTTAAACATAAAAATAGCCCGTTGACCCATGAACCAAGAGGCCTGGGTCGTGGGCTCGATCCCCAGTAGGGGGCGTGCAGTAGGCAGCCAATCAATGATTCTCTCAACATTGATGTTTCTATCTCCCTCTCCCTTCTTCTCTGAAATAAATTTTAAAAATGTATATATATTTAAAAATAAATACATAAACATAAAGGTAAATAAAATGTAAACAAAGAAATAAATAATTTTAAAGGCACATGTTGTTAATTTAATTTTATTTATTTATTTAGTTCTCACCCCAGAACTTCCTTTTTTTTTAGAGAGAGAGAAGGGAAGGGAGAGAGAAAGAGAAACATTGATTGGTTGCCTCCTGTACATGCCCCGATCAGGATCGAACCAGTGACCTCAGTGTATGGGACAGTGCTCCAACCAACTGAGCCACACTAGTCGGGGCTAGGCACAGGTGTGTTTTCTTTTAAAGGTTGGAAAATATATTGGGCTAAAGGAAGGAAGTTAACATATATTATGTATCCATTTCTGTAGACCCTCTTTGAGGCATTTTCACATACGAAGATATTATTGATCCCCATCTTGTTAATGGGGAAATGGATTCAGAGAGGCTAAGTTTACTGAGTTTGTAGAAAGCGGCAGCCCTGGGCCTGTCCGATTCTGTTATTTATTTGTTCCACTATATAGCTCAACCTTTGTCCTGGGCAGTGAACCCACAATGGGCGCATTAGGGGGGCGCCTCAAGGATACATGGAAAGTGCGGTAGGATTTGCTGCCTTTTGACCCCAAATTCCTATATGTAATGCAGTCAACAATTCAACAAGCATACAGTGAACCCCTACTGTGTGCCAGCCATTGTGCAGACAGTAAACTCAGAAATGAATCAGTATACAGTCTGGAGGAGACATAGACTGAACACCTAGTGTGTGCTTGGCATTGAGTTTACAGCAGTGAAGTATGGAGAAATCTGACCCACTAACAAATGTAAAATGTTAAATGCTTTGGCGTGATGCCTTTTTTAATGACTAGTTTGCTTACTGTTGATTCCCAACATCTAACCCAGTGCCTGGCACAAATCAGGTACTTGATAAATATTTGCGGGTGAATGATGGGTGCTAAAATAGAACATATGGAAAGTATCGTGGGAGCACCAGTGAGAGGATAATGAAAGCTCTCTGGGGGCACCAGGAGGCAGTAACATGTGAACTGCCTTTTGAAGGATGAATGAAGTATATGAAGAACACACAGAAGAGAGGAGGGGAGAGCAACCCAGCATCACAAGCAGAGGCACAGAGGCTTGGAAGTTCACAGCCTACTTGGAAAGAGGAATTTTGGAGTTAGAAGTTGAGGCCAATGTAAAATAGTAGTTAAGGCCACTGGCTTCGGATTCAGACAGACTAGGTTCCAGTTCCAGGTCTACCACATACAAGCTGTGTGAACATTTACGTAATAGCGCTAAGCCACAACCTTCTCATTTGTGACATGGGGCTAACAATAACACCTACCTCATATGGTGTTGAGAAGATTAAACGGAATTCCTGGCGTGGCTCCTGGTGCACTGTACATGCTCGGAATCCAGACGTTCTGTGGCAGCCCCCATTCTGGCTGGAGCATAGCATGGATGCGAAGGTGATGGTAAACAAGTTGGGAGCTAGATCAGAGGGGCCTTGAAGGCCTTATCAGGAGAATGGGCTTGCATGGCACCTGCAGTGGCATGGAGTATGGGTTGGAGGGTGAAAAATGAAGACTGGCCCTGACTCGGTTGGAGCATCAACCCGTACACCAAAAGGTTGTGGGTTCAATTCCCAATCAGGGCACATTCCCAGGTTGCAGGTTCGATTCCAGGTTGGGGCACGTGTGGGGGGATGGCCAATTGGTGTTTCTCTTTCACATCAATGTTTCTCTCTCTCATTCTCTCTTTCTCTCCCTTCCTCTCTAAACACATCCTTGGATGAGAATTAAAGAATAACAAAACACAAAAACAGACGGAAGAGCTTGGTTTTGGTCTCTGCATCCACAGCGCACATTCTGCTCTGCATGCTTGCTTCTGCTTCCTTAGCTCTGTTCCCATTTGGAAGTCAGGCGTCAGAAGCCCAGATTTCCAGTGCCCCCCTGACCTCGGCCACTGTCCCAGTGTCTAGAATAGCGCCTGGCAGGGGGCAGGCCCTGAAATGTTTACTGAGTGAATAATGCAAACATCAGCTGCCACCCACTCCTCACTAGGACTCACCGTGTTCTGTAACTCATTATCTCATTTGATTTTCACTACAAGTGTCATGAAGTTGATAGACCCATTTTGCTGGTGGGAAAACAGGCACAGGAAGTTTAAGCAACTTTCCCGAGGTCACAGAGCTTGCAAGCTTTATCGCAGAGCATTTGCTGTTGGGTGGGAGTGAATGAATGAGCACCAGCAACAGGACTGAGCCCAGGAAGAGGGCCCGGGGCAAGGTCTTTCGGCCCTGAGCCTGGAGTAAGCCAGCCTCTCCTTACAGCTGGTGGTAGGGGACCTTGGCCCGGGCGGGCAGCAGCCCCGCCTGAAAGTGCTCAAAGGACCCAGAGTACTGACTGAAAGCCCACTCCCTGAGCTACCGGCCGCTGCTGCCACCTTCCTCAAGGACCAACATGAGCCCCGAACACCAGCTCTGGCGCTTGCTTCAGGCCCTTGCGTGTATGTGTATAAGAATCTTAGGCCCTACTTCAAGTTCAGCCTGCCCCAGTTGCCTGCAAACCCCCTAGAAGAAGATCTTTGGAACCAAGCCAAAGAGGTAAGTGATGTGGGGAGGGGAACAAGAAGGCAAAGATGGCAGCCACTGGGGCATCCTCCTCTGCCTGGCTCTGGAGTTCACAGGCTTTCCCTCCTTCCTGTGCTGTTATAGGACCGGATCGACCCCGTGACCCTGAAGGAGATGCTGGAAGACATCCGGTGAGAGCCCACCTCCCCTTCCTCCACCTCCCACCCTGCCCTCCTCTCCGACTCTTTCATCCCAGAGCTCTTGGTCTAACCCCGGGGCTCTGTTCCTCAACTAAACCTGCCATGATTGCCCCTCTCTTCGTAGGGAGAGGGCAGAGGTGCCGTTGTCTGTACAGTCGCTCAGGTAAGGGCCCTCTGAGGGCCTGGGCTCCGGAGGCTCCAGGGGGCAGTGAGCGGCAGAGCGGCCTGTGGATAGCCAGGCCCGGGGCACGCAGCTGCATGTTCTCTCCAGGTTTCTGCAGCTGGAGCTGAGTGAAATGGAGGCGTTTGTGAACCAGCACAAGTCCAAGGCCATCAAACGTCAGGTAATGCCCCTTGTCTTCATTTCTCCATTAAAAATATGGATTTTTTTTTAAAACCACCTAACATCAGAGGTAAATTCTACAACCAGACCTGACTGGTTTCATTTTGCAGTTTCCCTTCCAATCCTGCCACATAGATATGGTCACAAAGCGGCAGGGCCTTCTGCATTTCCGGTTAAGTGGCAGCTTTGGCTTGATCTGTAGTTATATAACTTTATAGAGCTTTCATTGTCTTGAGGGTAAAGGTAATATGTTCTCATAAGAGAAAATTTGGAAAATAAAAGTATAAAGGAGAAATAGAAATGACTACAGTCTCACTACCTGAGGTACTGGCTCTTCTTGTTTTGGTACATTTCCTTCATAAATACACTTTTCTATCCTGCTTCCCTTGAGTAACATGACATATTTTGAACATTAAATAATTTAAGAACTATGGTTTTAGAGGTCCCTGGATTATTTAATTTATTTTTCATTATGTCATTCAGTGTTTATATAACTAGTCACATGCAACTCATTGAACAAGCAATGTGTCCCTTTTATTCACTTCATAGTTTTTTTCTTACACTTTTAAGAAAAAGTGTAAAAATTTTTCCCTCCAGAAAAATTGCTTTATTGATGAACCCATTCACTAATGAACTCTATTGGCTCCTGGCCTGGGGGCTGACCCTTAGTCCAGGGACAGACTCCCAGAGCTGTTCTCTGCATTTTAAAAAAGCCTCATGGGAGCCATGAGGTCACTTGAGCCAAACATGTTGATCAACACAGTCCTCAGCCGTTGGCTAGCCTTAGACCAATTCTGTGAGAAGCATGTTCTCTCCTGCTGGTCAGCAGCTCAGATCCACAGCTGTCAATATCTTTGAGTACTTCTAAAAGCAGGAAGTGGATCGTTGCTCAAAAGATGCAGCTTTGGGGCATAGGGCAAGCTTTCTAAGTGTGTCATGGGTACATGATTGGGAGCCACGAAGTTCCATACTTCTGTAACCTTTCTCCTTCCACTCAGCCTTTAATCTTAAAGATAATCACACAGCCCTAGCTGGTTTGGCTCAGTGGATAGAGCGTCGGCCTGAGGACTGAAGGGTCCTGGGTTCAATTTCGGTCAAGGGCACATGCCAGGTTGTGGGCTCGATCCCCAGTAGGGGGCGTGCAGGAGGCAGCCAATCAATGATTCCCTCTCATCATTGATGTTTCTATCCTTCCCTCTCCCTTCCTTTCTGAAATCAATAAAAATATATTTAGAAAAGAAAAAAAGATAATCACACAGTGAGCAGCTTTATTCAAAGAAACATTTGGTCCTGCTAAAATATTTCCATGGGAGAAATTCCTAAAAAGGGGGTCATGCCCTTCTCTTTTGTTTTCTCTCCGATCACAATGACAAAGGAACATGTGCCCACTGTAGAAATTACAGACAAGCACACTGAGAAATTAAATAGCACCGGTGAGCTTGTTGTCAGAGATAACCAGTGTTAGTATTTAAGGCTTTAACCTTTCAGCATGTTTTTCTATTCATTTTTAAAAACTGAGATTATACTAATGTAACTTTTTACCTATTTTTTTCTCAATACATTAGAAGTATTCTCCCTATCTTTGCATCTTCTTTTAAAATGTGATTTTTTAAATGACTGCATGGTTTAGGATCATATGGATAGTTCATAATTGACTTAGACAATCTTCTTTTGTTAGAAAGTTGGGTTTGTTGTAATAAACACCTTTGTACATAAATCTTCTTTTGCCTCTCTGATTCTCTTCCTCCTGTTTTACCCTCTTCCTTCCCTCCTGTGGTGTCTTGCGGGTGGATGGGGGGAATGGTGTGTGGGGATCCGGACTGACCGTGGAGTCCTTCTGCAGACAGTCATCACCACCATGACCACCTTAAAGAAGAACCTGGCTGACGAAGATGCTGTGTCATGCTTGGTGCTGGGCACTGAGAACAAGGAGCTCCTGGTGCTGGACCCGGAGGCCTTCACCACTTTGGCCACGGTCAGTGTGGGGCCTGAAACAGCACACCTGAGGCCCAGCTGCATTCCCTCCCTCTGTCCCCCACATCTCCTGCTCCCAGTTCTTGGTAATACATGAAAAATTATAAAATATAGATAAGCATAAAGAAAAAAATATATAAAGAAATCCCACCACTCACAGACATTTACCATTAAAGTTTCATCATATGTCTTTCCTGACATTTTCATATTTAGACATAGATATATAATTATATATATATATATTTTTTACAAAAATGGCCTTGTGGTACAGGATCGTATAACTTGCTCTTTTCATGTAGCAGTAGCTAGCTCATCAGTGTCTTTCCACATCTATATAAAACTACATCCTCCTTTTCAAAGGCCTCACAGTATCCATTTTATAGATTTACCACATTTATTTACCTCGTCACCTATTGTGGGTTTCAGTTGTTTTCCAATAGTAGTTTTCACTATTAACACCCCTGCAGTGGGCATTCTTGCCCAAATGTCTTTGCATGCTTGTCTAAATATTTCCTTAGGCTGCATTCCTAGAAGCGGCGTAGTTTAGTCAAAGGCTTGTGCTACATGTTGCTCAGTTTCCCTCCAGAAAAATTGTACGAGTTTAAACTGACCAGCTGGGTATGCATGAGGAAGCTGGTCAGTTTACAAATAAAGAGGAGTTGGTCCCTTCAAGGTAGGGAAGGACTGGGGCTCCAGAGAAATGGGATGTTTGAGCCTCTTCTTCGCAGATGAACCTACCCAGCGTCCCCGTCTTCCTGGAGGTTTCTGGCCAGTTCGATGTGGAGTTCCGGCTTGCCGCCGCCTGCCGCAATGGGAACATCTACATCCTGAGAAGGTAGCCACACGTGGGCTCGGGCCAGAGAGAACATCTCAGATACCTGGCAGTTTCTGGGGTTTGCAAGACAAGCAGGGGGCTTGGGGCTGGAATTGGGGAATGGGAAGAGCTGAGACGTGCACATAGGAGGCTGAACCAGGAGCACAGCGGGTATCTGGAGGCTTGTGTGACGGGGGTTGGTGAAGTGAGAGACCAGCTGGGTGGCTGAAGCACGTAAGCAATGCAATCAGAAATTGGAAGAAATAAAAATAGTCTCTCATATTTGTTATATTGTTTTATAGGTATGAGACACTACAGTGGGTAGTTTGATATTCCTTACAACATTCATTTTTTTAATTGAGAGATGTTTTTGAGCACCTACTTAAGCATTGTATAAGGTATTGATGAACAAAATGAACACAGTTCCTACCCTTATGGGAAGATAGATATTAAAGTCAACAAACCAAGATAATATTGCAAATTGGATACATGCACTGGAGGGAAAATACAGGCTCAGTGGGAAGAAATGATGGGGTCAAGGTGGTCAGCAAGTGCCTGTCTGTGGAAATGACGTGAAGGTGAGGAAGGGGCCAGTTGGTCACAAAGTACAGGAGGAGTGTTGTAGGCAGAGAGAGCCTGAGAACCTCGGGTGGGGAGACACTGGCATGTGCTGCTCAAGCGAGGTGGGCGAGGAGGAGGGTGGGCAGAAACGACGGGAAGACCAGGTTGGCTCGTGCAGGACCCATGAGGATGTGGTCAAGATTTGGGTTTTATCTGAAGTCTAGTGGAAAGCTGCTGCGGGATTTTACTCAGAAGAATGACATGATCCATTTACACATTTAAAAGGCTACTCTGCTGGGTGGAGGGTGGATTGGCAGGAGGCCCAGGGACCGGTGGGAGGGTCTCAGCTGGGACATGCCGTTGGCCCAGACTTGGTGATGAAGAAAATGGGCCATAGCCTGTGATTGGTAGGCAGGAACTACCCCTACTTTCTGGGCAAGAGAAACAGATTCAGCCCTAGCCGGTTTTGCTCAGTGGATAGAGTGTCAGCCTGTGGACTGAAGGGTCCCGGGTTCGATTCCAGTCAAGGGCACATGCCCGGGGTTGTGGGCTTGATCCCCAGTAAGGGGCGTGTGGAAGGCAGCCGATCAATGATTCTCTCTCATCGTTGATGTTTCCATCTCTCCCTCTCCCTTCCTCTCTGAAATCAATAACAATATATGTTTAAAAAGAGAGAGAAAGAGATTGAGAGGCCAGGACATGGAAGCAGTGCAATTACACAACAACTCCGAGCTGTTCTGATAAATTACTAAAGTGCCTAAGTCCACTCGCACTACATCTGGCTCCACTCGCTGTAAACGGTCAACTGCCAGGTCATCACACAGATTCCTGTAGTGAAGGTGGGAGGGAGACCGGGAAGGAGGACACACTTCATGTTCCTCAAGGTCACACAGCTATTAAGAGGTACAGGTGGGAAGAATACCATGGTCCTCTGCTTGGGGGCCAAGGTTCCTTCCAGGATAGTCTGTGGGGCTTAGAAAGAGGAGGGTAAGCCGGGGAGAGAGAGGGTTTCTCTGGGCTAGGAGAGTCTCTCTCCTCCACAGAGACTCCAAGTGCCCCAAGTACTGCATCGAGCTGAGCGCCCAGCCTGTGGGGCTTGTCCGGGTCCACAAGGTCCTGGTGGTGGGCAGCAACCAAGACAGCCTGCATGGCTTCACCCACAAGGTATGGCCTCCGGGCAAGCACCCACCCCCAATCCTTCCATGCATGTCTCCCAGGTCCGCTTCCCAGCAATTCTAGCCACCCCCTCTGTCCATTCTAACCCCTAAGACCCCTGCAGACACCTGGCTATTCCCTCCCAGGGTAAGAGGCTGTGGACGGTGCAGATGCCTGCAGCCATCCTGACCATGAACCTCCTGGAGCAGCATTCCCGGGGCCTGCAGGCCGTCATGGCCGGGCTAGCCAATGGAGAGGTCCGCATTTACCATGACAAGACCCTGCTCAATGTCATCCGCACCCCGGTGAGCCCTGACTCCTCGCCTCGCTCCCACCTCGAGGGCAGCTTAGCTGCCTCCTGATTCCACTCTATCCACTGCCCTTGACTTTTAATGCATTTCAGAAACATTTGTTCAGACACATTTGTTCAGAAACATTTGTTCAGAAACATTTGTTGAGCACTTCATATGCACAACTCATTGCATTGAGGGTATAAGACAACGCTAGACCTTGCCTTCAGGGAGCTTAGCATCCAAGGTGACAGCCAGCCAAAGGCAACTGATTCAGATAAAAGGCAGGCAGACGCCCAGTGCTGAGAAAGCAGAGCGGGCGAGTATCGGCGGCAGGCAAATGGGGATGGAACTCGGGGTGAGAGGCACACGTGCTCTTGCTTAGGGAAGCCAGGGAGTTTGATGAATTGGGAACAGAGTTTTTCCAACACTAAGTTGTGAGTCATTAAATCAATTTAATGGGTCACAACCAGCAACATCAAATCCAGTGTATGTCACAAGTGGAACTTGTGTGTGTGTGTGTGAATGTGTAAGGTGTCCTATGCCACAGTAGAAGATTTGAGGGCAGGTGTTGTGGGTTGGGAGAAGGTAAAGAGTAAAGAGTTGACAGAAAAGGTGGGCTAGAGTCACATGTGGAAGGGGACAGGGAGTACAAGAGCCATGGGAGGTTTTCTAGAAGAGAGGCAACATGATCATGTTGGTTTTGAGAGGCAGCAGAGGCAGCGGTGAAGGACAGTGGGGAGAAAGACTGTCCTGGGAAGCCTGTTAGGGAGCTGACCCCACAAGCCCAGGGGTGTTTAGTCTGGAACGATAGCCGTGGCAGCGAGGTTGAGGGAGATGAGAACAGAGGAGCTATTTCAGAGGCAGCACTGCCCCAGGCCTCGCCTCCCATCTCACCTGTTACAGCCTATCTGGGGACCCCCCAACCTTACCCCTCTCCCGCAGTCTTGCTCTCCTCTCCAAGATATTTTCCTAAATAAACTCGAGTGTCTGCTCCGTAGGATGCAGTGACCAGCCTTTGCTTTGGCCGCTTCGGGCGGGAAGATAACACCCTCATCATGACAACGCGAGGTGAGGGGCGTCGGACCTGGTAAGGGGGTTTGAGTTGGGAGTGAAGGTAACAGGCCAGATCCTGGGAAGGAGGGAAGGTGGACGGGAGGCACGGGAGGACGTGTGGAAAGCAAGGCTGGCAGACACGGGACAGCTCATCAGCGGTTTGACCTGGTGACCTCAGGGCCAGGCCCTGGGCTGGATTGCGTCTCCGGCTCACCCAGCATCCCCAGCGCCTGCCACATCAGGAACATCAAAGTGCTCCACAAGTAACTGAAGTGAATGAAATAACTAACGGGAGGAGGGTGTTTAGACAGACTTCACCCCTTCCAGAAACGCAGTCTCAGCAGCAAGGCAGACATGTACAGAGATGAGGCGGGTGGTTTGGGGAAGAGAGATTGGAATGTAGTGTGACCGGGGAGGGAGCTCACTGTTTCTGGCTGTCCACTTCCCTAGGTGGTGGCCTGATCATCAAGATCCTGAAGCGCACAGCAGTGTTTGTGGAGGGGGGAGGTGAGCTGGGCCCCCCACCAGCCCAGGCCACAAAACTCAGCGTGCCCCGAAAGACTCGGCTTTACGTGGACCAGACGCTGCGAGAGCGGGAGGCCGGCACCGGTGAGACTCAGGTCACGCCCTTCCTCTTCCTCTGCTGCTCTGAATTCGAGCAGCCTCAGCCAGGGAGCTGTGGGCGTGGGCAGGGAGGCCGAGAGGCCAGGGGAGGCTGGAAAGGCTGTCAGAGCCGCTTCGAAAGGGCCTGGAACGCAAAGCTAAGATGTTTTTGTTTAAGTTCGTGGGAGCTGGGAAAGATGTGAAGCAGAAAAATGCAGTAACTCAACCAGCTCTGCTTTAACAAGGGATCTGGCTTGCAGTTTAAAGGTAAATTAAAGGATAAAGAAAATAACTAACAGACTATTGTAGCCTAGAGAACCCAAGAAAAGCGATTGGTATATTAAAGAAATAATTAGGACGTTCTCAAAGGTGACCAAGTGTAAAATATTCAGAAATCAATAGCTTTTGTGTATACCAACAATAACCTGTTAGAAAATATGATGGAAAGTTTCCATCCACAATGGCAAGGAAATCTCTAGAAACAAACTGAAGAAGACGTACAAAATCCAATAAAGGAGATTATAAAACTGCTCTCATGAACATCAGAGGCCACGTGAATGACGAGATTTACCAAGTCTCAGGGTGGCAAGACCTAAGGTAATGCTGTGGATTAATGAACAGCTTCCAGAATTAGTCTAGAGACCTAGCGAAGTAACAGCACAGCCCCCGGGGACTTATCTTGAGGACCTGACCAAATGATTCTAACAGTAACTGAGAAATTTGGAGGCAGTGGGAATGAGGGGACTTAGCCGATCACTGAAGCTGTAGGAATTCACAGCTCTGACACCAATAGGGGAATTGATACCGATCAATGGCACATTTAGGAAGCCCAGAAACAGGCCCTTGTTTATGTGGAAAGTTAGTGTATGTTAAAGGTATTGTTTCAGTTAGTGGGAAAAGAAGACACTGTCCACAAAACGTAATTAGAACAACTTGCTTCTAGAAAAAAAATTTAGAACTCTACCTCATAGCAAACACAAGATTCCGGGTAAATTAAAAATAAAACTGTTAAAGTACGAAAGGAAAACGAAAGATTACTAGATGGGATAACATAAAGACGTAAAACTTGTGAATGACAAAAAAGCACCTCATAAAGTCAAGGACAGAGGGCAGACCAAGTGCTAAATCTGGAGAGACCACAGGAGTGCCGCGCGGGTGGGCTCTGGAGCTGGCTTTGAGGACGAGTCATCGATCTTGACAAATGACTAGAGTGAGGGGTGCACCTGGGTGACGTGAGGGGTGGGATGCCGTGGCGGAGGAAGGGAAATGAGCTTGGTGTCTGCATCACTGAATTTGAGGGGTTGATGGTGCATCCAGGTGCAGGTGGCCATTAGGCAGTTAGAAGCAGGAGGCTGCCCCAGGTGCTAAGCTGCTGGAGACGCCCTGTCAAGTGTGGACATGGGCCAGGCCCTGAGGTGGGCACCGAAGACCCAGCAGGCACGCGTCCCTCACAGTTGTTCCTCTTTGGAGTGGTCACGGCCAGGGCTGGACATGGGTTGTCCACGGGAGGAAGACAGAGGAGAAGAGGACCACGGACAAGACTCCAGGGAACACCAGTGCTTATGGTGGAATGGAAACAGCCAGCAAAGGACCCTGAGATTGTGCGGGCAACGAGGTGGTAGAACCAGGAAGAGGAAGCAGGAAATAGTCCAGCATCCAGTGTCATCAGAAGGCTGGACTGGTGGACCTTGGCCCTCCTTTTCCCCACATCCCCAGCCTCTGCAGACCCTGCCCCCTGTACCTTCGTCTTGCACTCTCCCCACCCCCTGCACCCACCCCGCCTCCCCTCCCCACCTCCAGTGTCAGCACTCTGTCTCCTCAGCCATGCACCGGACCTTCCAGACCGACCTCTACCTGCTGCGCCTCCGGGCCGCCCGTGCCTACGTGCAGGCCCTTGAGTCCAGCCTGAGCCCCGTGTCTGCGACAGCCCGGGAGCCACTCAAGCTACACGCTGTGGTGAGCACCCAGGTGTGGGGGGAAGTCAGCAGCCTCAGGGTGAGTGGGAGCCCTGCCTCCCCAGAGCCAATTCCAAGTCAACTAGGCCCCGTGCCCCTTCTCACCTTCCCACAGGCCCAGGGACCAAGTCCTCCTTTGTGAGAGCGTGCTCACCTTCTCTCTCCTGGGCTGCCTCTGCCCCGTGCTGGCCACACAGGGACACACTCTCCAGCTCCCTCATTCCAAGTTGTGCTCAGAAAAGCCCCAGACTTGGGGCAGGGCACACAACTCCTCGCCTTGGGATTTTTCTTCCAGGAGCCTGGAGGGACTCCTCCCGCTATGGTACCAGGAAGAAAGCTGTTCATTTCAGTAACTGCCTGAGGCTTGCACAGGCACGAGGAGGAGCCCACACACCCACACACAGTGGCCTTAAGGTCATCAGGGCTCCAACCAGCTCTCAGTAGGTCCCTGGGGGGTGCCATCTGTCCCAACTGGGCTTCTCACTTCTCTTACCCTAAAGAAAGGGATAGATAGAGGAAGAAGCTACAGAGCAACCGAGGGTAAGAGGGAGGAAAATGAAACCATTTCGGCTGCCGCAGGATGAGAGGGGAGGTGGGCCAAGCTCTAAGAAGAGGGGCAGGGGCAGTGGTGAGGACTCGGGTAGGAGCTGGGATTGTATCCCAAGACCAGCTCTACCTCTGACTCAACTTGCCGAGTGGCCTCTCTCAAACCTCTTCCCGGCCCCCGGCCTTGGCTGATTGCTGTACCCGCAGGAGCCAACCTTCTGGGCATTTTGGGAGGCAGGTGGACAGTGAGGTAGAACAGCTGGAGGAGGATGACTTGAGGACCCTGATGAGGAAGCAGGGCCGGGGCACACCGTGTCCCATGCCCAAGGCCGCTAGGTCTACCCACTCCACCCTCTCCACAGGTTCAAGGCCTGGGCCCCACCTTTAAGCTCACACTGCACCTGCAGAACACCTCGACAGCCCGGCCAATCCTGGGGCTGCTGATCTGCTTCCTGTACAACGAGGCACTCTATGCCCTGCCCAGGGCCTTCTTCAAGGTACTTGACAGCCTCCTGAGACATGGAAAGGTGGGAGCGGGGGGCTGATTAAATGCCCACAGAGCCTCCACCCGGTCAGAGGCGAGGGCTGGCAGGGGCTGCAGCCACAGGTTAGGCTAGGGCACAACAGGGCCTCCGGGGAGAGCACCCAAGACCTGCCTCAGCTGCCCCACTCCCAGCCTGCGAGAGTCTCAGAGCCACGCAGCCGGTGCTGGAGAACAGCCATGCCAGGCCCTCCTGTGCCTCTCCCAGAAGCCTGTTGGTCCTGCAGCAGCTCTGGGAGCCTGTCTGCCTCAAGGAGAATCTTCCGGAGTGAAGGTCCTGGCTTTCCCCTGGCATGAGGGCTGACTTCCTAATGTCTTTGTCCCCAAACTTAGGTTCCCTTGTTGGTGCCTGGGCTCAGCTACCCCCTGGAGACCTTTGTGGAGAGTCTCAGTGATAAGGGCATCTCAGACATTATCAAGGTAGGTGGCCGTTGGTACTGCGTGGGGAGGACAGCGGGACTGTGTGTGGACAAGGTCCCCAGGTGGCTGCCAGCTGGGGCTGCGTATCTGCACCGTGGCCTGTCATTAGGGCCAGTGCAGACCAGGCCAGGCTTGGCCGAGCAGGGAGGAAGGGCTCCAGCGGGCAGGACCCTATCGCCATGAGCACCTCCTCCACAGGTGCTGGTGCTTCGGGAAGGCCAGAGCGCACCTCTGCTGAGTGCCCATATCAACATGCCTGTGAGCGAGGGGCTAGCAGCTGCCTGACCCCTGGACTGGAATTAAAGCGCCTGCGGAATTGGACCGGGAAGATCCAGCCCCTTTCACTGGCTGGGCAGAGGCAGTGGCCCAGCCTGCTCCCCGCACAGCCGGTGCTGGGCCTCGGCTTCCCTCTCCCCTCCCAAGCTCCCCGTGCTCGCCATCTGACCGCTGGTGACCTACAGCAGCAGGTCAGACTACCCAGGCGGTTCCGCGCCTTTCTGCTCAGGAAGGTGCAGGCACCAGCTCACTGGGCTCCTGCTGCTCCTCTGTCCTCCCCACTTTCCTCCAGAAACCACACCCAAGCCAAGGGGAACAGCTCTGACACAGTCAAGGTGAGATGAGGGGCACGGCCCACCTTCTCCTTTGCCGCTCCCCTTGGGCACAGCGCCTACTGCTGCAGCTGGCCCAGCCAGAGGTGGCTGGGGCCTGGCCTGGGACAGTCAGAGGCTTTACTGGGTGAGACTGAACCCCCTGTTGCTCCCTGGGGTTCCAGAGGCTTAGCTGCTGCCAGTTCAGCTTGAAGCAAAAGACATGCTCTGACCTCCCCTTGTGAGCTGAGCAGGGAGCCCCTTCTTTCTATTCGGGGGCCCTGAGTGTAGCTGCCTCCCCACAGGGGGCTTTTCTGAAATCTTGGGCTCAGTCAAGGTCTCAGGCCCGTGATGCTCCATGCAGAGGGCATGGGGTGAAGACCACACAGGCACTGCTCCTGACGGGATGCTTGGGTCCAGAATGTACACCCAGGAGAGCAAGGCTCAGGTAGACGGAGCAGAGGGGTGCTGGGGGCACAGAGGGGCATTTCTGGGGCTCTGAGGAGATGGCACAGGAGGCAGAAGCCCAGAATTGCCGATCAAGATGCGTTTCAATGCCCTGGAGCCCAGAGCAGCATGTGAGTGGAAAGTTCACCGGGCAGTGGCCATAGTGAGGGAATTCGCTGGAAAGGCATGGACCAGAGGCTCGAGTGAGTCAGAAGGCTGAACAAAGGCACATGTTCAGCCACAAGAACCAGAGACCCAGTCCCGGCCCTCGGTGCCTCACCGCCCTGGCCAGTCTGCCTCGCCACCTCTCGGCGTTCTGGGGGGGCCACTCCCGAGCCAGGAGCCCCACTCCCAGAGGATCTACATCTTCCCCTCTCTGAGCAGAAGCAGCCCGATGTGTGGGGACAGCTCAGGGTTGTAACCCAATCCTTGTGTAAAAGGCAGTTTCACCGGATTCCGCTCTGAAGTCCTATGAGCCCGGCAGCCCCCTAGAGGAAGTGAGTGGGCTCCAGAAAAGGGGATACTTGACAGGAGTAACTGCAGAGACTTTGCCCTGAGGCCGAGGGCCCCAAGCTGACGGCCACTGCCAGGCAACAGCCTCTGTGCCCAAGACACTGTGAGGGACTGGGGTGACAGCCACAGTCACCCCCTCTCCCCGAGGAATGCATTCTGGGGTCAGGTAAACCAGTTAACTGCCATGATATTTTGAATTTAATTTAAAAAGGTCCGCCGCTTGCGTCTATAGACACTATGGCGTACAAATGGTTAAGACAAGCAAGGGGTCTAGACAGAAAAGAGCCCATCCCCCTCTGTGTACAGTCCACACTCGCAGACATGGACCAATGGGGAGAGGACGGTGAAGGGTCTGGATCAAAGCAACTGATGCCCAGGGGGAACACACAGGAGGTCTCACCTGGAAATGGACAGACAGGGAGAGGGCGTTGGGGGCACAGCAGGGTCACTGTCAGAGGCTTAGCTTAGCCTGAAGAGCTTTCTCAGGGAGCTTATCCGACAAGGAAGCGCCTGCCCTAGAAGGTGTAGCCCCTTGTCACTGGCGCTGTGTCCTCCGGGCCGGGCTACCACCGCTCAGGTGGCTGTGTTGAACCAGATGACCTTACAGTCTCTCACCCCAGTGAAGTGATGAACTGTGTGAACTCGGAACAAAAAGGTCTGCTCTGGGTTCTCATAGCTATTCATGATGAAAGCAGAGAAACTGCTCCTAGGCCCAGCAACCAACGTGAGTTTATATGATGGACTACCACGTGCTGTTACTAAAAACACATGAACTGCAGTGATGTGGACAGTGTAAGTGAAGCAGGAAGCAGTGCGCGGGACCCAGGGCCTCACTAGTCAGGACTCCGGGAAATTGTGTACATTAAGGAGGAGAGTTGGTGCCTGTAAAAAGAATATTTATCTAAAAACACGAACCTACTTAGTACTATGGAATTAGACCATAAGAAGAAAAGAGCGTCTCCCCACCCCAGCCCCGCTCCCCTGCTAGTCACTTGCAGTTATCTTAGCTATTTATTTTTGTAACATGGTTACACTGGTCTTGTTCGATTTGTCAATCTAAGACACTATCTGTTGGCTCCCTTTCCTCACAGATGAGGGACACCATCCCTTCCTTGTCTTTCCAGTTTGTAGGTGAATCAATATTCAGTTTGGATTACAATTTATATTATTATGTGAAAATTATTCACTGTGAACCAAGAATTGGGCTATAATTAAATTACCTTTTGAGTACCGGTACCTTTTATTTTTCGTGGAATTAATAATTACCCTGTTTTTTTCCTTTGCTTAGTTTTCTGTGCTAATTCTCCCCCTGCTGGTCTGACCGTTCCTCTTTACTGAACGTTTGCCTCCATCCGGGGGCTGCGGGCTGGAGGGCTCCAGAGCTGCCGCCAAGCACGTCTCCCAGTTCCCTTTGCCGTGCCCTGGGCCAGCACCCAATCCCTGGGCCCTGTGTCTTCCTCCTCCATCATCTGTGCCCTCATCTGGTAAAGCATATCCACAGCTACTTTCTTTAAAAAGCCACTAGAGTTAACACTTTTAAGGCACTATTTGTCTGAAATTTTCTCTTCTTAAAAAATATTTTTTTATTGATTTTGGAGAGGGAGAAATCAAAATATCAATGATGAGAATCATTGATTTGCTGCCTCCTGCCCCCCCTCTACCCCCGCTGGGGATTGAGCCCCCAACCTGGGCATGTGCCCTAACTGAGAATCGAACCGTGACCTCCTGGTTCATAGGTCAATACTCAACCACTGAGCTACGCCAGCCAGGCTGAAATTTTCTTTATTCAATTCATACATATATGTGATAGTTTGAGTCGTAAAGTTTGACATTGAGAATCCTTTTCATGCAAGAACATCACTTTTAGGCAGTGCTCCCACTACTTTTTATTTTTGTAATGCTGTTGAGAGGTCCCATGCTCCGTTTGCTCCTGACCTCCTCTCTCCGAGGCTCTGAAATGTCAGGACACACCTTACTCTGTGTCAGTATTTGTTGTGCTGTGGGTAGAGATGTGCATCCTTCAGTTCTGGAAAATTCCCTCCCATTTTCTCTGTTCTCTCTCGAATTCTGATCAGGCCCGGCATCTGTTAAATCCAGAGAGAACAGGAGTGATCCTCTGATTTTCTTCTCTCTTCTCTTATTGTCTTTTTATTCTGTTTTTGAGAGATTTTTATCTTCCAGCTCTTCACTGAAATTATTTTTAAAATGCTATTATTTTCTCAACTCTCTTTGTCCCCTGTTCAATCTTTGATCGTGGTGTCTTTTCAAGGAGTTCAACACCACCATCAATCAACTGGATATAACCGACATCTCTAGACTGCTTCCACTGGGCAGAACACACATTTTCCTCAAGTTCACATGGACATTCGCCAAGAGAGACCACATTCTGAGCCACAGAAAACACATTCACAAACTTAAAATAATGAAATCATACAATGTCTGCTATCAGATCAAATGGAATTAACTGGAAAATTCAATTTCATGCAGATGTTGATTTCCCCAAAACTGATCTACAGATTCAGTGGGTTCCATTCACAATCTCAAAGAGGTTTGTACTGTCGGGACTTGATAAGCTGATTCTAAAATCTACATGAAGCACAAGGACCAAGAATAGATCATAGGGGACCATACACAGTGGGGCAAAATAGAAAAATAAATTGTGGTATATTCAAAGGGTCACCATACAGCAAGGAGAAGGAATGCCCTACAGCTGCACACATTTAGACAAATCTCAGAAACAATGAGTGAAAATGCAAGTCACACAAGAATAAACATGGTACAGTTCCATTTATATAAAATTCAAAACATGCAAAACCAATGCAAATGTAATAAAATTACAAAGCAAAGCCAGAGAGTGATTAAGACAGTAGTGTGTCCTCTACCAGGGAGGGGCACCATAGGGACGTCAAAGGAAATGGTATCCATTTCTTAAGTTGGGTGGGAGCGTGTTGTTTCTCTTTATAAATATTTTCTTGCATCTCCTTTTTAACTAAAAAAACCTCACACACACACACACACACACAAGGTACTCTGGAGGAGGGGTAAACAGGAGGGAACAGGTGGTTTGCAGTGCCCATGTCACAGGAGAGCACCCTCGCAAGCAGCATCTGTAGGCGTTCACTTCACCCCATTTTTGGTCCTTCTCATCTCTATTCTCTCCCGTGCCCCTGAGACATAAAGCTTCTCAAACAGCCCCTCTCCCACCCCAGAAGGGTGGCTGCTTGATTGTCGGGGGTGGGGTGGGCACTGGGGGAGGCCTCCGAGCTGCTCCTCACAGACTGGGTCAGCCCCTCCTGAGTCAGCCCCAGGCCTCGCCTTCCACGTTGCTCATGGAATTCCTGAACATCTGCAGGTTCTGGGAGGCAACTTGGCTGCCTCTTGGCCCCTCCCTCTGGGAACACAATTTCATTCTCTACTTCTCTGAGTAAATGAACCTCCACTCACTTTCCATCTTTTAAAACTCTAGGCTCTCTGGTCTACTGCTGTCTCCTTCCTATTTTCTTTCCCCTTGTAAACATATATTTTTTTCTTTACTATCATTTCAGAGGAAAGAGGTACATTGATGTGCTTAAAACCTGTCACATTTAATTAATTACTAGATTTAAATGAAAAGGTTTAGTAAGAAGCTCCTGAACAGTCCCAAGAGGAGTGTAGCCCTGTCACAGATGCTTGAAGGAGAAAGCACAAAGATCTGGGTTCAAATCCTGACTCCTCCATTTACTACCCCATGCACTTATCAACTCTCAGAGCCTTAAGTTTTCTACCCACATAATTGCTGTTCAGTGTATCAGGTTAGCTAGAGAGAGGTTCAATGAAATTGCTGATGTGGGAATACTTCTAACTCTAAAGCAATGAACCTGGGAAAATATTTTAAATGTGCCCTGGCCAGTTTGGCTCAGTGGATAGAGCATCAGCCTGCAGACTGAAGGGTCCTGGGTTTGATCCTGGCCAAGGGCACATACCTCAAGTTGCAGGCTCCTCCCTGGCCTGGGCCCTAGTTGGGGTGTGTGCAGGAGGCAACCGATCGATATGTCTCTCTCACATTGATGTTTCTCTCTTTGTCTCCCACTCTCTAAAAATCAATGGGAAAATATTCTTGGGTGAGGAAGAAAAACAATTTTAGATGCTCATGCCCTGGATCAATACATGCCACCTTGGCCACTGGTGCTCCCACGCCATCCCACCACGGCTACAGAGGCAGAGCCCTGGCTCCGCAGGTGTTCAGTGGTTCCCAGACGTGACAATCGGAGGAACCTGAAACAGCAGCCGGGCAACAGTGAGGGACCAGAAACCCACAAAGCTGGAGGGAATCCAAGAACCAAGTGGGCACTTTATTAATCTGGCAAAGGGGCAGCTAGGTTGGCCAAGCAGCCCCTTGCCAGACCCTCCACTGCACTCGGGGGCCACTGATAGAGGCAGACTCACAGGGCCCATGCCCTGGAGACTGAGTCCAAGCTGGGCAGGGGCAAGGCCAAGGATGGGGCTGGAGTTGCTGAAAGCAGACATTAAATACCAACCTGCCTCTCCTCCTGAGGCCGGGGGTGGGCTGAAATGAATTATGAGCCCCTTCACCCCTCCTCCCTCCCTGTACAGCTCTGGCTCTTCCTGGAGTCAGGAAGCCACCAGTCCCACATCAGCTGTGGTCTGGAAGGTGATCCCGTCCCCAGGCAACGGGGAGGCCAGAAAGGGCCAGAGCCAGACAAGGATCCAGCGGGGCCCCAGGGCTGCCTGCAGGTTGTGGCAGGGGCCCAGGTCATAAGAGTGCTGGCCCCGCGCCCATTCCCAAGTGGTCTGGCCCCGAAGCAGCAGCATCCCATGGAAGAGCAGCCCAGCCCCGCAGAACAGGGCACCCGCCACACACGTGTCAGTCACGAAGGCCAGCGCGAACTGCGCCAGAGACACTCTGCCTGCAAGGAGAGAGCAGACTGGATCAGGGGGCAGCAGCAGGCCCAGTCCCCCAAAGCCCAGCTCCTGCCCTCCAGCCACCCCCTACCTTCACCATGAAGCAGAGTTCATTCCTCCCCCAGCAAACAGTGAGTCTCTGTTCCCTAGCCGGCCCCTGCTGGGTGATGGGAACACACCAGTGACCCGGGCAGACACAGTCCTCTACCTTAGGTATGACTTTCATTCATGCATCCCAAATGTGTGAGCACTTCCCATGTGCTGGACATGGTGCCAGGCATCGCAAATATCAGAATGAACCTGTGACCTCAGGGAGCTCACAGACATTCATGAGGTCCCTTCTCAGTTACTTAATGACAGCTGTACTGTGTGCTACACTGGAAAAGTAGAGTGTCTCTCTGTGGAGGCCTCCCAGGCTTCATCCTGGCCCACAGTCGGTCCCAAGTATCTGCTGAACTAAGAACTACAGGACAAGGGTACAGAGGGGACTGCGGGTATAGAGGTCAGGAGAAGGCAGGGGAGAGAAAGCCCAGAGCATTTGGCGGGGGAGGGTGGGGACAGAGTATAAAAGACCAGTGGGGCTTTTATCTTGGGTGGTGACAGAAGAGGAATAAATGTCATCCAGAACTTGGCCTCTCAAGCTCCTGATCCACGTCTTACCCTGCCTGTAACTTTCACTGGCTCCCCACTGCCCAGGCAAGTGAGGGCCATCTCTTCACACCAGCATCCAAGGCCTCCACCATCCAGTCCTAACCTACTGTCCTGGCCTTAATTCTCACAATTCCCATCCAATTGCCTTTGCTGCTCCCTGCTCAACATCCAAGGCCTCGATTAGAATGGTCCCCTTTAGAATACTCCCCCAGTGACCTCCCCAGTCTTTCCTCCTCGGCCAACACCTCCTAGAATCCTTCCCTAATTGTCCCAGGCAGATCTCTGTACCTGTGTTCAAGCACTGTATTTTACCATATCCAGTTGAATACCAGGCTGTCCTCACCACCAACCCCAATAAATGATACTGGGACTGGGTCCCCAGGGCATTGCTAGGGACTGCCCACAGCCCCATCTCCCACCAGAATGGCCCACTATTAGGGCCTCTGCCTCTCTGTGGAGGCCTCCCTGGCTCCCACCTGTGAGCAGCATGAGCCAGGGCAGTAGGAGGAGGGCAGCGGTGTGGAGGGGCGTGTGGGCTTGCAGCAGAGCTGCCAGGGCAGGGCCCAGCAGCACAGAGACGTGGAGCAGGACGCCCGCGCCATGAAGCAGCAGGCACAGGAAGGGCCGGTAGTTGTGAAAGCCCACGCAGCGGCCCAGCAGGCGGCAATGGTGATCCCGACGCAGGATGCAGACGCGGCAGGCAGAGCAATGTCCGCTGCGTGGCGGCACCTGACTCTGGCACTGGTAGCAGTAACTGCAAGGAAGAGCCACAGGGTCAGTTCCCCCAGCAGCTCTGGGTGCCCCATCTTATGCCTGTGAGCCCGTCCTGGGAAAGCAGAGGTTGCCCTTGCTAAGCCTCAGGTTATCCATAGGTAAATGCAGGCTGAACACCACTTCCCAGCCCTCCCAGTTCTAGCACTGCAGGTCTGAGATCACTTCCAGGTCTGACATCCTTAGTCCTAAGGCCTTTCTCTGGCTCTAACATCCAGGAGCAAACTTCTGCCTTCCTCCACAGTCACCATGAACTCTCACCTGGATTATGGCAACAACCTCTTGACTAGTTTTCCTGACTCCACCTTTGTCCCCTCCTAGAGTAGTCTCACCCCAGCAGCTAGACTGAGCCTTAAAAATCTAAGTCATGCCCTAGCTGGTTTTGCTCAAGTGGTTAGAGCGTCAGCCTGCAGATTGAAGGATCTTGGGGTTCAATTCCGGTCAAGGGCACATACCTCTGTTGTAGACTCAATCCCCAATCCCGGTCAGGGTATGTGCAGGAGGCAACCAATTGATGTGTCTCTCCCACATTGATGTTTCCCTCTCTGTCTCTCCCTCTCCCTTCCACTCTCTAAAAAATCAATGGGAAAAAAAAAAACCCTTGGATGAAGATTAACAACAACAAAATCTAAGTCATGTCCCTCCTCTGCTCAAAACCTTCCAATAGCACCCTGGCCAGTGTGGCTCAGTTGGTTGAAGCATCGTCCCATGCATGTAAGGGTCTTGGGTTCCATTCCCAGTCAGGGCACATACCCAGGTTGTGGTTTCGAGTCCCAGTCAGGCATGTACGGTAAGCAACCGATTGATGTTTCTCTCTCACATCAATGCTTCTCTCTCTCTTGTCCTCTCTCAGCCTGTCTCGCTAAAATCA